TGTTTTTTTTAAAGCTTGATATATTTGACTTCAATTTTAGATTTTGACTTTTCTTTCTTTCTTTCTTTCTTTTAATAATTGAGGCGTTACAAGACTAACCCCCTTAAAAGAATTTCGTCCGCGAAATTATATTAGTTAAGATTCGCACATGTAATAAATATAGAGAACACATTTGATCCTCACTTGCCATAATGCCTCATCTATTGAATGATTACTCCAATAAACTTTTATTCCCAAAATTTAATCTTTCCTATCATACCTTTAATAACTTCCTAAAAGCCAATATATGATATTATCATCTTTTCCTTTTCTCAACCCTTAGGAAAACTCAATTATTTTTCAATTTGAAGTTCAAGATACTACTTTTCATGTTTTCCAAATATTCACTTATGTCATAATTTAAACTATTCTTAATCAAATTCTTTTCCTATAAAAATGGTTAGGATCGAATAAGTTTCTTTTGGCAATTTCCTCATAATAATTGTCCTTGAAATATTCAATATCTTATGTAACCGCAATTTTCTAAATTTCTAGTTATCCCCAACAAAACAATTGAGATAGCTCAATATGATGTTCTTTTCCTTTAATTTTATATCATCCAATGATAATATATACACAACTTCAATTTTCACCATTTCGAATAAAAATATACCTTAAACTCCGATGATAGTAAGTATCGATGCTTCTCACAATGCGGTAACACCACATTTCCTAAATTCAACCTCAATTAAACAACTATAAATCATATTTTAACCATGCATCTTTAACAATCTATAATATCATCCATAATTTATAAGTTTACTTCAGAATACTTTTTAAACCTTAACATAATTCATTATCATAAATCAAACCTTAATCAGCTTTAGATACATGAGTAAATATTTCCTCAGAATTTAATCTGATTACAAAACTTTTTACATTTCTAAACCCACACAATTTTATTTTGGTGCTCTTTCTTTGTATAAAGATACAATAATAACATTTAACCCATGATAATTCTATACTCTTATTCCATAAAGACGCTATTGACCTATTACCAATGCATAAGCCTTTTGGTATATCGCACGAAGACCTTTAATTAAGATTATAATACAATGATACTGTCCGACAATTGAATAAAATTTATATTCAATGATCACCCTAAACTTCAAACTATTCGACATATCATCCATATTTTCCATAGCAAATAGATCTCAATAAAAATAGAATACTTTATGTGTGAAATCCAAAATTACAATCGAAAATCACCCAAAAATCACATCACTAAAATTTCATTAAATTCATCTTAACTTCAAAATTTAGCTTAAAGCTTCCAAATTGTATATAATACAACATAATAATCCAACAAATGGCCTTGGCAAAACTAATTAACTTAATAACCTAAATATTTCATCACATTATTTTGCAATAGAACAACCATAGCATTCATGTACATGCTATTCACCGTATCATGCAACATTGTCATTTATCGTCATATAGTTTAACCTCAAACATTTAAGTATACCAATTTCCCTTAAGATCACAAAAATAATAACCTTCCACACATCAATGTACCACCAAGATTGCACAATTTAATTTTCCAATCTCAATAGATTCCAACTCCACCGTTCTCTACTTCTTTTTATTTTTCAATTCACATAAACATATGTGAATGCACATATTCATTTAATTCTATTTCTTAAGCAACAAATAACCAAATAATAAGTGATCATTATGAAATCTATCCCTATTTGTCTTATATCCCTTATAATCAAACAACTCATAAGTAATTAAAATAGTTGAAATCACTTAAATGTTAATTCCATCAACGCTTAAGATATACAATAACGCATTGTTATCTATCAATCAACACATCATCATTTTTGCTTCCACAAGTTCTTATCATATAGAATAAGTATACACCATCATGATTCTCTATCATCATCCCATACAAGTGCCCACAGATCACCATAAAATTTTGATAACGCTATCAATCATTTAGCTTCCCAAAATAATTAAAATTCCTCTCCTGATTATCACCAATTACACATGCTAGAACTAGAGATTTCCCAAGTTTATATTAAAAACCACAAAATTCTACACAAAGATTGGTACTTAAATGGTTGTACCCTCTATCACTTTGAATGTCTATAAGTAAATAACTAGCAATACCATCAAAACTTTCACCTTCAAATTAACAATTTGTTCAACTCTTTAAAAGTTACATACACCATCATTCTAACCCAACAACTAATAACACTTTCAACCATCAGATCATGTAACTGATGTACTTACATACTGCTCATTTCTGAATCCATTAAAAGTATTCTTCCACCATTTTAGGCTCCAAACACTACAGAAGCAAAAGCTTGAGAGCCTGTGATATCTGTCACCACGGCATGTAACCATACACACTGATTATGCATGATATGTCAAAGCATGAACTATATAAACTTTCACAACTTTATAAACCATGCTCTAATGCCACTTTGATACGACCTGTCCCGAATCATCCTAGTGGACCCGAAACGTGATGTGCGCGATGATAGATGTTGACTAGATGTCAAATCTATCACCAAGACTGACTATGAGTTACTTCAAAAAATGCATTAAAATCAAATGCTTATGTAAACATAATGCGATGGGCCCAATTATTTAGTTCGTGCTTCATTAATATAAGTTATAACATTCAACGTGTCGTGTGATTCACATTTCGAAATCATTAGGCTCTTTTAGTTAAAAAGAATCAATTGCTACTTGTAGGAAAAATTATGAGAAAATATATGAATTGATAGTTCAGTGAGTGGAAAATTTCAAAAATATTTATACTTTTTCGATTTTACATTTTTATCGAAAATCGAGTTCATTTCATTGAATAACTCGTAAGATAACATCATATAATTATAGCCAAAACGTGAGATATTTACATAACGTGGTAAAATGTCATCTCATGTCATGATATAAACATAAGCTGGTAATCATGCTATAATCTCATCACATCAAATGTACTGAAAAATTCACCAAAAATGCACCCTCCGACTAAAATCTGTAATCTGCTCCTCGGGCTAAAAACTTTCGCTACGGGCTTTTAGCTTCCTCCGTGAATGAAAGTCAGTCTCAAGATTTCTGGTAATCAATTTTAGAATACAATCAAGGCCCTCTATGAACTATATGTACACGATCAAGACCAATGTCAGGTCAAGACCCCTCTGTGTAGAATAGAACATGGCCAAGACCCCTCTATGAACTAGAAGAAGTATATAATCATATGTACTTTTCTGGCCGATCTCAATATTACATGTTTCACATACCAAACAAATTTTAATATCGTATGTCTTACACACCAAGTCATAAATGTGCATAAATAATCTTTGATTTTTCACATGTATCATAATAAAAGAGATTCTCATAATAATCATATAATAAAACACATAATTGCACATACTTTGATAGTGTACTTAATTTATAAATACTTTAGAAATATTTATATTTTTCCACTCACAGATGCAAAATTAATTAAGAAACGCAAGAAATACTAACTACTAATCTTGAATTAGAAATAAATACCAAATAGGGTTCATCTTCATCCAATACAAAACGTATCTAGCCTAGCATATTAATATATAAATTAAAAAAAGAATAATAGAAATATATCACTTGAACCTTGAAAGAATACAAAAAATGTTGATTTTCAAGTCCAAAGTTGAATTTTTCAATTTTTTTTGATGTAATTGGCCTTCAATTCTTGCTAGGGATTGATCGCCTCTCTCAAAAGTCATGAATTGACCTCTTATTTTTGATGAATTTGATAAAACTATTGTGTATGAAGAAGCAAGAGAGGGTTTCCCATGGCTGCCCATGTTCTATATTCATATGATGAAATTATGTTAAAATTCACATCCAAATTGCCTTTCAAAAGAGATTTAATCAAATAAAGAAAATTGCCTTGGCGCGCATGATTTTATCTCTTTACAGACTTCAGTGCGTTAAAACACTAATTCAAAGAGCTACAATCCTTCTAGAAATAAAAATTTTCCAATTCGAATATTTGCTATCCAAAAAATGGTTCTCAAGTTGATCAAAAATCTGGAAGATATCTTATGTGATTGAAAATCGATTTATGGTAATATTCTAATTATATACTATTCCTTTTTAACTTTAATTTGCATTCAATTGATTCCTATCAATCTTCAAAGTATCTTTTGTGATCCAAATCAATCATTGGATATTTACACTTTGGTCCCCATACTTTGAATTTCTTTCATTTTTATTTATTTTTCGTTCATTTCTTCTAATTTCATCAATTGCATTGAGTTCAATCTAACAAACATAATTAACATATAATTAAGTTATAACTCATTCAAATCACTAACAAATACTCTAACTTATTGCTTGGATAAGTGTGCAAAATACACTTATCAAAATGTATTATAAAAAGGTTGCTCATTTATATTTATTCATCATCACAAAAAATTTGAATAATAAAAGTTGAATTTTAATATTACAATTTTATCCTCTTAAATTTGCATACTAAATTTTATTTTCTTTAATTCGCTTGAAACTCATCAAATCTTCTCAACAAATTCGTATCAGATATTATTTTTATAATATTTATAAAGTATTTTAAAATAACGTGCAATATATATTTAACTTTGATTAGTAGATCAAAACATGGAATAATTGAGAGGAAAGTTTCTCATTCCACATTTTACCGTTTTGTCATTTGTGTGTTAATGGAATTAAATAATTATGTCTCATTAGTGCAAATGGGGCTTTAAGAGCGTACACGTAGGATTTTACTGACTGACGAAGTGATCAAATTGAAATATTTAAGAAATTTTAGTAACTGATTTGGAATAAAACAAACCTAAAGGACTGATTTAGAATTTTCCTGTAACTTTAAGATCCAAATGTGTATTAAACCGGGCAAATGAAGAAAGTGATTCTTTATATATATATATATATATATATATATATATTTTTTTTTTTTTTTTTATGGATATCCTACAAGATAAAAACAAGTCTGTGAAGAGAAAAATTAAGAAAATTGAAAGAGAAGGGTTCAACTACTCCAAACTCACTCAATTTGTTAAAAAATTGAGAAAAAATCATTAGTTAATTCGAGCCGTGTTGTTAGAAATTTTGGCATAAATTACTTTTCATTGAATTAAATTTGACATAATTTCTGGGGGGGTTTTGGAGTTTGGTGATAATATTATGGGGTTGGGTGATACGGATCTTAAGGACGATTGTGACGAAGGAGGCGAAGGGTGCAAGGCAGTGCCACCAGCGGCGGTATCGTGCTCAATATGCTCAGAGGCGGTGACAGATAATGTGGATAGATCTTGGGCCAAGCTTCAATGTGGCCATCAATTTCACCTTGGTGAGTCTTAAATTTTCAGGTCATTTTGAAATTAATAGGATCGGACCAAGTGTTTTATGGCGATACAGCAGCAACGTTTTAATTTTTTTTTTGTGTGAATTGAACGTAGATGGAGGTCATAATTCATTTTGAAAGCCTGGGCGTATGCTTTTGCTTTTAATTTTTGGATTAGTTGCTTAATTTTATTATTGAATGGTAGGGTATAAGATGATGGAATCATAGGCTGAACTTGATATTTCGAAAGGTTTCGAGCCTGCAACCTAGGCTTGAATTTGGTTTGACCTAAATAAACAGTGAGCTGCCTTTTTTCATTGTCACCTCTTATGGTAGAACTAAAAGCAATTTCTGCCATGTCAATGGTTTCTAATACACAAATTTGGTCATTCAAGATAATGCTAGCTAATTTTTTTGTTTAGTGTTCGTTTCCCCAACCAGTGACGGACGTAGATATTTTGAGTTATTGGGACACAATCAAACTTGCAAAGAATACATATTCACGTTTATCTCGAACATCACCAAGTTTGTCATCATTTTTATTTCCAACATCATTTTCATCTCAAATAATCCTTTCATTAACATTGTGATCATCAAAAGAAAAAGCATATTTATATTTAAATTATTTTTCCATTTCAATCAAAGAACACAATTAATTCAAGTGAAAAATACAAAAATCACAGCAAATTCTGAATGTTACAAAATTAACTGCATTCCAATTCAAACAAAGATAAAAATCACAGCAAGAATTCATTACCATAAATTGCCAAAACAAGATAGAAATTGAAGCACTTAAGCGGATCCCCAATTCCATTTCATAAGAAAATACAAAAATCATAAAAAAGAAATAACTTCCCAGAGAATGAGGCTTCAAATCTAATTTTTGGATAAAAAAAAAAAAATACTCAATTTTAAGTTGGTGGGTCACTTGATCCACCATGACCCACTGTGGGTCCACCACTGTCCCCCAAGTATATCTGGAATTTTTATTTTTTGGTTATTAGCTTTATAAGGAGTTCATGCATTTAGCCAGTCTGTGTGCAGTGTGCACAATAGGGCAGAAATTATCTTATTAAAGGTTTTCGAAGAGAAGGCTAATTGTTATCTTTTAGTCATGCAATTTAGAAATTGGTTTAAAGATCTCATTCACCTTGAATTTGCATCTATATTACTGCCTGTGAATTTTTTTTTTCCACAATTACGGCAAGCATCTGAACTTTAGGTTTCTCCCTCGTTCCCATTTCTTATGGGAACATATTATAGAATCAAGATACTGTTTTCTGAGTATAAGTTTAGCAGCCACCATAAGAAGGTAGTTAGGATTGAAGTGAAAGCATTATATTTGTCTTCGTGAATAACCGTTAAGTTTGTCTTTTGGAAACCCATTGTTGGTTCAATGAAACTGCTAAATGAAGTAAATGACAGCAGAAATTGTTCTAAAGAGGTTGAAAATTTCAGCAAACTATGTTGGGAGGAATGGGCAGAATTGTTGGAAAGAAAGAAGAAACTGTGGCCTACCAGTTGTATGATTTGGTCCATTCAGTGAGAGCGAAATAACCGTAGCCCCAATACAACTCTTTATTCACCTTGGAGAGTTATGAAAAAAGTATCGATTGCCTACAATTATGATACATAATTTCTAGGGCTACCAATTGAGCTAAAATCAAGCATGCTGAGCCAAATGGAAACTCGCTTTCTGATCCCTACCAATTTAGAGCTAGGCCTAAAGTGTGTTTGAGTTATTTAAGCTTAAGCCAACAATATGAAATTGGAAATGAATGTGAGTTGAGGTGGAGTTTTGACAGGCTCAACTTGAATTAGTCTTGATATACTCAATTATCTCACAATATCTATTGTTATTGAGACTTAATTTTTTACAGCAAAAGATGGTTTTTAATTGCTTTTTATGATTTTTAGACATAATTTTTCTTAAACCTTCTTCCAAACCACTCCACCACAGCTACTACCTCTCCAATTTTAAGCATGGTGTGTAGAAAAGATATCTTTGATGAAAGTTCAATTTGTCGAACCAATGTTCAATGCAGAAAAATAAGAAAGAGAAAATACAATCAGTTTCACTACACACTATTGACCAACAGCGCAGGTGAAGGGGGTGTTGCCATGAAATGATGGTGGCACTTGTGGAAAGGTCTTTCTTGTTGATAGCATATGGAGATGGAGGTGGTCTGGACTTTGGAGAGCGATAGAGAGAGATGCTGATCAGAAGAGTTCAATAGATTTTGAAATGTTTGCCTTTTTTTTTTTGGTAGGGTTTGATGCCTGGATCTCGTTAACGAAAACTAATTTGCTTAGTTTTGGAAACAATATCAAATATGTTTTTTTGTTTGCAGTTTGAGCCCAAAAACCTTTCTCAAAGATAAGGCACTATACCAAACACCTTTTTATTTTTTTCTTTTCGCAGATTTTTGAAAATTAACTCTTTATGATATGAAACATTTGAGTTACTGAAAGGCTCCTTAATACTCCGTTTGTTTTTAAATGAAGTGGGGTGTCTTCACTTTTGAGGTCTGTTGGATGAGCTTTTGGGGAAATAATTCAAATCATTTTGTCTATTAATGAATAAAATTGCATGCATATTTTAAAATTAAAAACCAAATATTGCAATTAAGAAACAATTTGAATTTAAATTCTCAAACCTATTTACTGTAAATATTGCTTAAAAAGGTCCCTTGATATTAAAAGTCAACCATCTCCATTCATTTTAAAACACAGGAACTAGAAAGTAATTCAAGGATAGCCTTTGTTGCATCTTATTGAGCTTACTATACCATGCCTTTTTAAGTAATTAACTGTGTCCAAACTTATGAGGGGGTTCAACAATTTTATGATTCACCAATGGTAAAGAATTTTGTTCATTAGATATGTATGTTGCAAAATCTGCCATAAATAAGTGCATATACTCCTGGACAAAGTTACTGGCCACAAAAGGTTTCTTGTTGGACAAAGATTTTGGGACATAATATAGAGGCTAGGTATCAAATGGCACACCATTTTTTCCCAAGTAATAAACTAAAATGGGGTTCAACAATTTTTTGATTCACCAATGGTAAAGAATTTTGTTCATTAGATATGTATGTTGCAAAAGAGAAAGTCATTGACAAGTTATGCTGTAAATAAGTGCATATACTCCTGGACAAAGTTACTGGCCACAAAAGGTTTCTTGTTCGACAAAGGTTTTGGGACTTAAATATAGAGGCTAGGTATCAAATGGCACACCATTTTTTCCCAAGTAATAAACTAAAATGGGATGGAGAGATTTCTATATGTCTGCATTCTGCGAAAGTTTTTGGAGAAACTTCAACTTCTTGAAAGTTTGCCTTCATCAATGATACGGTGAATCTATATTGATTCCTTACATAATAGCTTTCTTCCAAGCATTTTAGATTAGATAGAAAACATTAATCTTATATGTCTTTTCAAATTTATTCATATTTCATCAATACAATTCTCCGAAGCATTGTAAGTGGAAAATATGAGGGTCCTTTGAAGTTACCTAAAGAACAATACTCAAACACTTTTCATGTTTAATGGCATCCATCCGATCCTTAAAATGGTAGCTCCTATATCTAAAAAGGCACAATAGGGTATCCCAGCATTTTAATTCTGCGAGGAGTATGTCTCATCACCAACTATTAAGTAATACTAAAAATTATAGTACACACAATTATGCTCCTTAGAAATTGTAAGTCATCTTAAAAGCAGCAATAAAATAACTTAACTTAATTGAAAGTCTTACTTGCAAAAATAATAAAATAGAGAAATAAATTAGCACATAAGACATAGTCAAATTATTAACCAGACTACAAATTGATAATTCTTTTCTAGAACTAGAGAAACCCCAAAAGTCTTTCACAAAACCATCGACATGTTTGATTCCTTTGTAACCATCCTCGGCACAATTTGTTTTCTACTATTCTTTTTCCTCATCCCCCACTTGCAACGTTGTCTTCCCCTTCCCTGTCCCAATCTCTATTAAGGAAAAAATTAGACAAACACATAGAGATGTTCGCACAAGAAAAAAGAAGAAGTGAAATTACATCTTAGGTCTTTGTCACCGGTCTATGCCACTGGAAATTTGAAACTTTAATTAGGATAGGAGTGTATTGTACGTCTTAAATAGGAAATTAGGAAGGCATTTTGTACTTCATCTCATTTATCTTCTCTAATGTATTTATTCTGAACAGCCTAAAAATGCTTAAAACCTAGTAGGCTATAAAAAATATCCAAAAAAGCTGAAGTAGTAATAAAAATCTTAGAAAGGGCAAGGGAAACGAGCTCCCACCCGAGATGTCCTAAGATTTTTGCTTGATGCGTACATGTCATATAATATCCTAAAAGTTTCTATATACTTTTTGTTGAAAGCTAATGGACCAAATTGATAACTTTCTATAGTTGAAGGGTCCAATGTACACTTTTTGAATTTCAAATTTTGGTAAAGAAATGATCATGGGATTGCCATGCTTAGATAATAAAGAGACTATTAGATTGCTGTATTCAGATTATGGAAAGTAACCTAATTTATTCTTTGATTAAATGTGAATTAGGTAACTTGGCATAAATTATGAGGATTTAATTCCTATATATATAGGTAAATTTAATTTAAATGTTTAATTATACGGCAATGTCTTATTGGTAGCAATTATATATTTATTAATATAGTTAATTGGGTAATTAGTTGAGTGATCGATTAATCTCCATATGGAATAACGTGTGATGTTAATAAGGGAATGAATGTTGGCACCAAAAAAAGGTAATGGGGTTAAACTTTAGAGAACCCTATATATACTCCCCTTACATCACTTGCACTCACACACAACTTATCTTGTACTTTGCATCACACTTTCTCTTAACTTATCTTCCACATACACATTTTCACATTACAAAGCTTAGCACTGACGGTGTCCAAAGAATTTCGGAGTGAAAGTTTAACAAGTCAATTTTCTCGACTTAATTTTACCTTCTTCCATACAACAGTAAGTGTAGTAGTACGAATTGTTCTTTCATTATTTTAATTAATTATGTTATGAATATGATGATATGGACGTCCAAGTTATAATTATGATAATGTCCGAAGTTTGGATTTTAATTCTCATGCCCTGACGTTTTGGAGGTACTATTTGTATGAAGAAAAAGTGTGACATCTACACAAATCATAAGAGCCTCAAGTACATCTTTATTTCGAAGGAATTGAGCATGAGACAGAAGAGATGGCTTGAACTATAAAATATTATGATTATAAAATTCATTACTACGGAGGAAAGGCAAACGTAGTAGCTGACGCCTTGAGTAGGAAGACAACGGGACAAGTGGCAATGTTAATAGCATAAAGGCCTTTGTGGAGAGAATTTGATAGATTAAGTCTCGAAGTGGTTGCTATTCTGATTTTGTCCCTCGAATGGCAGCACTTTCGGTTTGACCAAGTCATCAAAAGGTGATCTTCTTTGAATTTATCAAAGTTGAGATTAACACAGAGAATAGGAAAAATTTCACCATAATCAACGATAAGGCACTTTATCATCAAGGACGACTGTGTACCAAATTTTGAGGAATTGAAAATTGAAATCATGAAGGAAGCCCACTCTACTCCTTATTCTATATATCTAGGAAGTATAAAGATGTATCGTGACCTAAGAGCTGTGTTTTGAGGGAAAAACGTGAAGGAAAATGTAGCTAAATATTTGGAGAAGTGCTTGATAGGTCAACAGGATCAGGGTTGTTGTAGTCGTTGGAAGTTCCAGAATGGAAATGGAAACATATGACAATAGACTTTGTTGTGGGTTTTTTGAAGTCAGTAAAAGGATACGAGGCTATTTGGGTGATTGTTGATCGTTTGACCTAGTCCATCTATTTCTTACATGTTCGCATGCCATTTTCTATAGACCAATTTGCATAGTTATATGTGAAGGAGGAAGTAAGGCTGCATGGTGTCCTAGTTTCAATTGTATCCGGTAAGGACCCAAGGTTCACATTGAATGTTTGGAAGATTTTACATCGAGCCATGAGAACTAAATTGAACTTTAGTGCCACTTTCCATGATAGTCCGAATGGACAATTCAAACATTAAAAGATATAGAGCGATTGTGTCCTAGAGTTTGGTGGACATTGGAAAAAGCATCAACCTTTAATTGAGTTTGCATACAACAATAGCTATAATATCTCCATTGGCATGGCACCCTACGAAGCTTTGTATCGGAGGAAATGTAGATCACCTATTCATTGGGATGAGGTTGGTGAATGTAAGATCTTGGGCCGAAAATTATGGAGCAGATAGTACAAGCAATTGAAAAGATCAGAGTTAACACGAAGAAGACTCAAGATAGATAGAAAAATTATGCAGATAAAAGGAAAAAGAGCTTGGAATTTGCGATAGGAGATAGGGTACTTTTAAAGATTACTCCCATGAAGCGGTACTTCGATTTGGTAAGATACATTGGTCCTTTGGAAATTTTAAAGCGGATTGAAAATGTTGCATACAAGTTAGCTTTGCCACCAGAGCTTTCAGCAGTATATGATGTCTTTCATGTATCAATATTCAGTATGTCCCTCACACAACTCATGTGGTGAGACATCAACTGTTAGATATTCAGCTGAACCTAGGTTATGAAGAAGCACCAATATGCATCATGGCTCAGAAAGTATAGAATTTTTGCAACTAAGAGATATCACTGGTTAAAATTACTATGGCAACATCATTCAGTAGAGGAGGCCACTTGGGAATGCAAGGAGGAACCAACTTTTTGATAATGATATCTAATATAATTTTCAAGGACGAAATTTTATTTTAAGAGGGGTAGATTATAATATCCGTAAAGTTTCTATATAGTTGATGAAAGCTAAGGGACCAAATTGATAACTTTCCATAGTTGAAGGACACAGTTTACATTTTTTGAATTTCAAATTTTGGTAAAGAAATGATCATGGAATTGCCCATGTTTAGATAATGAAAGGGTTGTGGGATTGCCGTATTTAGATTATGGAAAGTAACTTAATTTATACTTTGATCAAGTGTGAATTAGGCAACTTGGCATAAATTATGAGGATGTAATTCCTATATATATAGGTAAATTTAAATTAAATGTTTAATTATATGGCAATACCTTATTAGTAGCAATTATATATTTATTAATGTAGTTAACTAGGTAATTAGTTGAGTGATTGATTACACTATATGGAATAATGTGTGACATTAATAAGGGAATGAATGTTTCTACCAAAAAATAGGTAATGGGATCAAACTTAGAGACCCTATACATACCCCCTTGCATTACTTACAGTCATACACAACTTATCTTGTACTTTGCATCTCTCTTTCTTAACTCATCTTCCACATACACATTTTCACATTACAAAGTTTAGCACGCATGTTGTTTAAAGAATTTTGGAGTGAAAGTCTAAAAGACAATTTCCTCAACTTACCATTACCATCATCCATTCAATTGTAAGTGTAGTAGTATGAGTTGTTATTTAATTATTTAAATTACGAAAATTTATATTATGAATATGATGAGTTTAGTAGCGCTACGCACGAAAATTATAGTCATGAATTTCTGATTTTAATTTTTGTGTCTCCATATGTATGTTATGATTTTCTTTATTTAAATATGAGATGAAATTCGTTAGTACTCATTTACTGAGATTTGTCTCACGTAAATGTTAAAATTTTTATCGATAACTAAAAAGGCAAGTTCGAGGCGATCGGAGGTGGATTGTGCTTGCGTTGGTGAAAATGAAGAATAAATTATGTAGTTAAGGATTTTAATAATGTTTATTATATTTTTCTTGAAACTAATTTTAAATCCTCACATGTTAAGAAAAGATTATATTTTTTCTTTTGTTCATGAAAGTAATCATTTACGGTACATGTATAATGATTCCAGAGGTAAACATTTGGGTCGTTACATGTCATAAGTCGAGGGGTAAACTTTGACAAATGGCACTTGAGGCATAAGCTTTGATGCACTTAATGAAAGCCTCAAATGAGACGTGCCTCTAGGTGTACTTGTCAGACCCTTCTCAAAATGCTAATTCACGTGAAGGTTAATTGATAGTAAGTGAAAACCATCATGATGCCACCTTTATGTTAGTATTCATTGATGATTTTTTCTGTTGATGTCACTCGACCTCTGTAGATATCAAGTCAAATAAAGCAGTTTAGATTTGAAATGATGCAAATAGAGTAATGGTTATTGAGCACGAGAACATTTAAATTGTACACTTATGTATTACTTTCTCCTTTTGCCATTCCAAGTTGGTAGAAATGGTAGTTGTTAATCATTGTTAGAACTTGAATTTCTTTGCTCGTTTGGTGGTTCGGGTTAACAAATCATCTTGCCAGTTGGCCCTTATGGTTTAGGTTGTTAATTTTAAGTGTCACTTCTTGTTAATGTAAAAAAGCAGTCACACAGCTTCTAGATTTGAAAGGTCGTTTTGTTCTGTATTGTAACTTGTATAAGATGCTTGTACAATTTTGTCATTGTCTGACTAACATATTGTGTAACATAAGACATTTCCTAAGCATGGAAAACATTAAATTCTTGCCTTATTTTTACTGTGTTACTGTTGCAAGATATTGTTTTTGTCTTTTGCTGTTATTATTTCACGGTGAGTTGTCAAGTAAGCTGCTTTTTTGGTTCTCACTTTATCTGTGTCATGATTTGTACAGATTGCATTGGCTCAGCATTTAATAATAAGGGGGTGATGCAGTGTCCCAACTGTGAAAAAATTGAGGAAGGGCAATGGCTTTATGCAAATGGCAGTCGTCCGTTGCCTGAGTTCAGCATGGACGATTGGGCCTATGATGAGGATCTATATGGTCTAAGTTACTCAGAAATGGTAATTGGAACACATATCTTGATCTTATATGTCTTTTCTTGTCTTCTCCTCTCGTGGATTTGCTGCAACCTTTTGGCTTCTAGACAATTATCTTCATATTGTAAATAATATTTCCATTTTTTTTCCCCTTGTCAACTAATTTTATCATATGATCCTAAAAGTTACTATAAAAACATTAGCCTTTATAGTGGGACTGTCATATGTGCTTTTACACCTGTTTACTACCTTAATTCCATTTTTTCCTCAACACATTATTTAGATGATGACTAGGTTATCAGTGTTCAATGAGCTAAGATGTGCTATTTTGTTGGTTGTTTATTGGTTTCAAGCTCTTTTTTCTTGCATTAAGCAGCAGGCAGATCCTTTTGAGTGCTAGTTTTTCCCCCTCCATTTAAATCGAGTATTAACTATCGGTTACGTGTATGAACATCATTTATTGGCTCTGATATCATCGATTATCATTAGTAGTATTGGAAAAAGTTAATTAAAATCAAATTGAAGTGTAGTTACCCGATTAGAATCAAATTAAAGTATTTATCCTATTGAAACTCTATTAAAGTGTAGTTACCTGATGGAGCTAAATTGAGTATAATTACCTGAATGAGTGAAGTATAGTTACCGTGTATGGAATTTATCCGTTAACCATTTATATAGGAGCTGTTTGATAATAATACTTCCCTAACTTTATACTTCTCTGGCAGATCGCCCTTCATTAAATAATATGCATATAGATTTTTTTTTTTCCCTGTGGATACACAGATTCGTCATGTGGTTCTTAGGAACCTATGACACACTGAACACAACTTGAGTCACTGGAGGGAAATGAGAATAAAGGGGAAGAGTGGAGAAAGAAATGGAAGGAGATACTTGGAGCCTTAATCTTTCACCTAAGGAATACTTTCACTTGTAAGAATGGGTTGATTTTTGCCTTATGACTGAGTCCTCGAAATGAGTGACTATAGATTTAATATACTTGCATTTGCTTTAAGAATGTACATATAGCAAAAGCTGAAATATTGAAGCTGATCAGACTTTACCGACTAATTATTATTTTTTGAAACTTAATACATGGTTTTGACAGTCCGTTGGAGTTCATTGGTGTCCAGTCAGTGGGTTGACAAGGTTCCCTTCGTCTTTTGAGTAAGCATTATTTTACCTTATGGGTGCATTTTTTTGTACTTCAGTTTAAGTTTATACAATTATTGGCTTAAGTTCCATTCTGTTATTTGGACATTAATGACCCCTTTTGTACCCTTATAATTTCTGAGCTCTCGTTGATGTTTTCCATTTTTGGATCCTGTACCCAAAAGACAATAGTGGAAACTTCTCTACCATGGAATTTAGGCATAATGTTATTGGTGTTTTCTCTGCTTGTGGTACTTCATTATTACTACTGCCTGATAACAACTTTCTATTTACAATTTAATTCCTTTGCAAGTATCTTTGCCTTTAAGATATATCAATGCTGGTATTTAATTTATTCAAATTTATTTTATAGCTTATAGGAGTAAACTTGTTGTCGTTTGGAAAGAAAGCTTGAACTTGTCAAGAAAGTATGCATTCAGAAGTATTGAACCATTTGTCTTCCTTATATTTGTTTCTAATTTTGTAAATCTGAAACCTGGATGGCACCATATGTTTTCATTGTTAAACTTATATACCTGCTTTCAATTCACGTTCTCATTAGTCATAGGGACATGGAATTTCTTTAAGGTTCATGAAGTGGTCAATTTTGTTCCATTTTGGAAAGAAAGCTTGAACTTGTCAAGAAAGTATGCATTCAGAAGTATTGAACCATTTGTCTTCCTTATATTTGTTTCTAATTTTGTAAATCTGAAACCTGGATGGCACCATATGTTTTCATTGTTAAACTTATAAACCTATACCTGCTTTCAATTCACGTTCTCATTAGTCATAGGGACATGGAATTTCTTTAAGGTTCATGAAGTGGTCAATTTTGTTCCATTAGCATAATAATAATTAATGGGTGGTCTTGATTCCAGAAAAACTTTGATACTCCTCTCCAGTCTAAAGAAAGTGAAATATATGGGATCTGAATGAGATTCAACTTGTCTTAACTCTTGAGGTTTTCTGATGACGTATCCACATTATATACGACCTTTTAAGGCTTCAGTGATAAAGATCATTTTGGGTCCTGAATAATCTATGCAACGAATGACTTCAAACAGCTGAACTTTTTATTAATCAGGAAGCTTTGCTGTGAGTTTTATTAATGGCTTGTATATTCCACATGTAGCTGAATTTTTAAAGTCTTTACTTCATTAATTTGCCCCTCTGAAATAGTGATTAGGATGTAATAAAAATAAGCTTAAATGTCAATCAAGTCAAGTTTAAAGCTGAGTCAGCTCACCGTATATCTGTGAAAAATTTATCACGTTGTGTACTTGTTAGAGATTTCAAAAATATGTTTTTGAGCTGCTTAAGATTTGGTGCAATATGTGGTTATATGAGATAGTTAACTAAAAAGGGCGAAAGGCAATTGGCTAGAATCTCTGGGTTTCTCTTTTTGTAAATTTTCTTCTGGTATTATTTTTCTTATTTTCTCTTAGTTTATCTTATGACAAATACTATTTATTCGACTAACAATGCTTCATTTTACGTTTCTTTTTTCCTTTTATCTTCACAGTGAAGCAGAATTTTCATCAAATGCATGTAAGATTTATTATTATTTATTTTATTTTAATTTTTTTTTTTTTTGTCTCTGTTAAAACTTTTTAGGTTTACATCAATTTTGAATGATAATTGGAGTTATTTTATGTTTCACAGATCAGGATCATCTTGGACGGCATGCAATATTTGCTGAACATACAGCTGTATCATCTGCTACTTATCCTTGCCCTTATATTGCCTACATTGGACCAGTTCACCCACCATCAACCTCCAGTGGAAGTGTATCAGATGGATCTAATTTTAGTAATCACTGGAGTGGTCCATCAGCTCAAAGTGATATTCCTGGTTCTTATGCTTTCCCTGCCATGAATGTACATCATCAAAATTGGGAGCACCATTCCTCTTCTTTGGGTAATGGCAGCCACATTGGCGGTGCAGATCAACCTTCTATTCCATCTATGACTCAGAGATCATTAAGGCCCAGTTCTGATATTCCCAGACCAGGATCTTTTATGCATCCATTAGTTGTCGGGCATAGGTCAGTACATAATATACTTGCATTTCTCGAACCCTTCAAACCTAACCTAGAGTGATAATTGGGTTTAATATTTGAATATTTGGGAGAAACATGGTCTCACTAGTAAAATCTTCCACTATTGCAAACTTTAACCCCTAAATCCCCTTTATGGAGTCAAATCTTTCACATTTAAGAGTATGTTTGGCTAGGCCTTAAATATTGTAAATGTTACTTTTAAGTAATTTTTTGGTCCGGAAATATGTTTGTTTGGATAACTTATATTTTTCTCACTTCTTTAAGCTTAGCCATGCATGTTCTGGTAATAATATGGAAAATGGAATGTCAGTGATTCCTATGTAAATAGAAAAAAAACGAAGATAATGCTGCTAATAGGAGACAGTATAATCATGCAATCACTTTTGCTATCTTGTATGAATTTCTAAAGCTATAATGTTGATTTGTATCATGACAGTTCTGCCAGTAGAGTGCCGAGCTCCGTGACCTCTTCAATGGTCCCTCCTTATCCTGTTAGCATTGCTAGGCCACATGACCGTGTTCAGGCTCATCAGGCATACTTCCAGCAAGCCAGTAGTAATCCAACAGCACGCACACCTTTAGTATCTTCAACACGAAGATACAACAACAGCCATAGGGGTTCAGCTCAAGTTGCACCCATGGCTTCATCATCAGATCAGTCTGGTAACTTGTACTTGTCATCAGCTTCACCTGGACGAACCTACCAAGGAGCAGAAAATCTTCTTCCTAACCGTTTCCATGCCTGGGAACGAGACCATTTGCCTTCCTTCCCATTAAGCCAGGCTGAAAGGGAGATTTGGGGACCATACAATCCAGCACCTGGTGGATCTGATTCCAGAATCAGATCCAGCAATTTTCATGTGAGGCACGGATCAGAGAGGACAGCGCCATCTCAAAATCGGTCATAGATATCTTATTCTATTATGCTGAAAACCTTGATTGCTCTGAAACTTCAATTATGTATGTTTTGAGAACGATCTATAATGGTTGGCAGTGTGCCGATCAATCCAGACGTTTTGCGTGGCTTTGAAATTATTGCTTTTTTATCAGCCATGAGTTTGTGTGATGGATGCAGCTTCCTCTTGTTCCTTCGGGATTGTAAGGTCTTGTGTTTATAGCAAGAGGTTGTCTAAAGCAGCATTGTGTATTCCATGTACGGGTATCCCAAATTGTTTTTCCCTGTCCAAAAGCGGCCCCCTATCAAATATATATTGGATGTTTATCTTGTTATTTTCCCATGTTATGAGTTGTGGATCTTGTTAAAAGTTCTTCATTTCGTGCCATTTTTTGGACAAAAAATTGTGAAGTCTGTTCAAACACCTTAACTGGTACGAGGTGTTAACACCTCAAAATTTTCGTTGAATTTTGTTACTAATTGACCAAGGGGGTTTTTTTTTTTGTTTTTGTTTTTTTGGGTGTCACTTTTGGACATCTTGAAATTTGTAGGGACTAAAAGAAAAATAAGTTAAAACAATTATTTTTAATTTTAATCTTAAGCACGAGCGAAAGAAATGGGCATAAAACTGATTGTTAAGACTTTGTATTGAAGAAGTGAACAAAAGTTTTGAAATGAGGGGTTCAATCTGGTGCTGTCTAAATCAAATGTTGCATGGTCAAACTTCTAAAAAAGCCTACAATTTCTGAACCGTTTGGCACTCCAAGCCGGAACACGAGTCGCTTGGTTATAAGTCACAGAGACGTGATTTAAATCTGTACAAACATGGGGTGACTACAAGTACTTTATTAACTTTGTCTACGATAACGAAATTATTTTATGTATCTATTGAAAAATAAGGACAAAGCTATAGGGAAATTTATTCTATATAAGAGTGAAGTGGAGAATCGACTCAACAACAAAATTTAGGTGCTGAAAATTGATCGAGATGGTGAATATGAAGCATTATTTGGTGAATTCTGTGCATAATGCAGAATCATATATGAAATCACAAGCTTTATTCACTCCAACAAAAAGGGTGTTTCTGAACATAAAAATCATAACTTTAAGGAAATGAAGATGTAATGTTGATAAATTTTGGGTTGTCACAAAAAATGTGAAGGGGAAATGCTGTTGTTAGCAAATTACCTTTTAAATAAAATTTTCTAAAAGAAAGAAGAAAATAGCCATATGAGTTATGAAAATGAAGTCTTCCAATATATACTTACGAGTGACATGGTGTCTTGCCAAAGTGGCCATAACTATACCAAAAAACTCCGACTATATTTCATTTTCATTGGTTATGCTTCTTATGTAGTACTTTTATTGTTTTCTTGTGTATGAGTCTAAAATTCGAGAAGTATACAAAAATACGATAATAGAATTAAGAAATGCTTTGCTTTTTAAGCATGTATTTTAGTACAGATTTGAAGAGGAAGATCACTCTTCTAAATGGATACATAAAACTATAGTTGATAAAAGTAAGAACCAGGGATTAAAAGAGGAAGTTGATGTTGAACAAGACATAGCAAAAATGCAAGGACAAAGAAATATTTTAGTCTATGTTAACTGTAAAAATCGGATCAAATGATTTTACTGACAAACAATTACAATCAAAGATCAATGTAAATTCAATCAACAATCCTCTCACCTAACTATGAATTTCACCTCCAAAGTTTGCTAGTCTAGATATTTGAACTAGAACAAGTGGAGAAATAACTATTTCAAAGTGAGATATTTGAATTGCTTGCCATTCTTTAAATGGACGGGGTATTTTTAAAATTCTCTCCAAGCATTAGGGTAATTTGTTGATTCTTGCGCTGCACTTAGTCGCTATCCTTGATTGGTAGTCTGATAATTGATTTCGGTTAAGAATCACATTTTATTCATTTGTCCATGTGCCCTTCATTGACGGCCTAAGCTAGCCTAGATGCGGAGATTGGTTCGAGACCTTTAGGTGAAACTTTTGTTTTTTCTTTCTATCGCATGTTGCTTTTTGTTTCGCTAAATGGGGATCTTGTGAAGTGTCTTACCTTGTTCAACAAATAGTCCCCTAAGTCTTATTTTATTATTCATATTAAATTTAGAACTTGTTATCCTCGTCATTCCATGAAGGCAAACTTTCCTAGGGCCTGACTTGATTTCCGTACTTTGCAATTAATACTTAGGGCAAACAGAACGTTTATGACATCACCATGGTCATTCATCGTCTGCTTGTGCGTTTCAAGAAACTTTCTTTTCTCCCATTTTTATATATTATATCTTCAACCGTTTATTATATATCTTTCCCTATTCGGCGGTTAGGATTTCTCTCCGTTTCGAATGAACAAGTCCTTTGGGATTCCACAAATTGTGATAGGCTCCTGCAAGTGCTATATATATATGATGAGTTGTTTGTTTGGTAATACCTTCTTCCTCGAATAGAATGAGCCTCGTTGCCTCACATGCTATCGTTTTCAGGGGAAGATTTCGTATCCCCACTGGGCCTTGTGTTATAATTGCTTCTTCTTCCTTTTTTTTCTGACTCTATTGTATTTTCCTAATGAGTTACTCTTGAAACTCACATTATTATCTTATATGATTGGACAAAGTTTTGGAATTGCCCTAATATTCCACTTGACATGCTGCAACCACGTCTTCTGTTTTGATTTTGTCGCGTGTGATCCAGAAGTTGGGATGGAGACATAGGATCCTTAGATCTATCTAGACCTTTGGAAGCTATAATTGTATTCACAAAGCGTTCATGTTGTTACTTGTTGGCTTATTGCATCTTCCCCGGATGGGCATCTACGAGGAAACACTATGCAAGACATAGTTTCAAATATTGTGATAAACCCCCATCTATTTTCTTCCCAACAAACACCTAGGGGTGTAAGAGGTCGTATTTTACTTGTTTTTGACAGATTTTCAAACCAAACCGTTTAAATCGGTTTGAGAAAAATCCAAACCTGAATCAAACCATTTTGAACGGTTTGAAAAAAATTCAAACTTAAACCTAACGGTTTGGTTCAGTTTTAAACCGTTGGTTTCGCCATATATTTTTTTGTCTATCCACCTTTATGTCATTAATACTATATATATATATCTTACTAGCAATAAAGTCAAAACAAACTAAGCCCCGATTTGAACCAAATTTTTGGGATAAAGAAATGAAAATTTGGACCGTTATACCACAAGTCCAACCGCCTTTATTGACCTGTTGTTTCATGTGTGGGACCCAACCCCCTCTCCAATAGTCAATTTTCTTATTATGATGATATGAAAAATATGGCCCAAATAGGGGCTAAATATATCTATTATAAATTTAAATACCAACTAAATCAAAGTGAAATCATAATAAATTAAAACACAATTTGTTTCATTTTTGTTCACCTTTTTTAGGCTAATGACGATACGATAATGTTACAATACAAGTCTACTAAACTAGATATAAGGCCAAAAAACATAATGATGTCCAACAAGACCTCGTGATCATCATATCTAAAAAAATGATACTGATTAGACCCACAATAATAAAGCAATTGTTTATAATATCTAAATATAACAATTACACAAGTTTACATTTGTATGATGCTACGAAACACATTTAATTTCACATTCTTACCTTAGTTTGCTCCAAAAAAAATTATTGATCTGAAACTTTATTTGTAGCAAATATTATCACTGAAGGTCTATGATTTCTTTGTCTCCGATTTGGTATAATGGACTTCAATTGAACTTTGAAGAGGCATGAAAAATGTGAAAAAGAAGTGTGTGATGCAGGTGGCTCAAGACTGTGTTGGGTGTCAGCTGGAGTTCATCTAAATTCTAAAGAGGAAAAGGGTTTTTGATAGATTATATTAGTCTTGAGATTATTAGATATATATATTAGGATTATTATATATTAATATTGATATATCTGTATTAGAGGATTAGAAATTAAAAAAAAAATACCCACAAATGACAAAACTATTGAATTTTACATATTTGGATGAATTTTCAAAAAAAATCATTTTTTCATCTTTTTATTTTTGTATATTTTTTCGCTGGTCCGATTTGGTTTTAAACTGCAATTAAAATTCTCAAACATGGCTTAAAATCATTTCGTTGACTGGGTCCACGTGGTATCAAACTGACGGTTCCTAAAACGCGGTTTCGGTTTGGCGTTTTCCGATTTGGCAGTTTTTGCTTATATTCCTAACACCTAGTTAACTTCTGGATGCTACTTTGAGAAAATGAATTTGAATATATTCTCCATCTTTTCCTCCTCTTTTGACTCCAGGAACCTGGGTGGGAATATGGATTGTGCAAGGTGACTGAAATCATGGGACAATGCCTTTCGTAGTAGTTTTTTTCTTCGCATACCAAGTCTTATAGCTATGTAATAGATGTAATTTGTGAGTATTATTTGCTTTGTAATCTTCCTTTGTGATTAATAAAGAGCTTTATTTTGCCAGGTGTTTGCTTTACCAATCGTCTTTTGGTTTCAACTTTAGTTTCTATTACGATAAAATCAAAACTAATTTGGGAGGCCTCACATAATAAGTAGGAAATTTTATGATCAACTTTGCTAAGTTCACAAAGGATAATTGAAATTTTATTGATAATATTTTCTTAAGTACATGCCATTCCAAAGATGTTTCAGCGGCTCACCATCTTTTCCTATGAGCTTATATGTTCGACTCCTACAACTTCGATGACAATATATGGTCCTTTCTTGACAAAGTGGGCTAGAACTCATTTATTTATCTATGACGAATACTTTCTTTAGGACCCAATCACCCACTTTCGAGCTTTTCCTATGAGCTCTTGAGTTAAAATATCTTACTATCCTTTTCTAGTACGACCTGCAAAACATCTCTTTTTTCTTATAAGAGATCTAAGCTTGCATTCATAGACTCTCCATTTTGTTGTTCGTCATACCCAATTCTTCTAGCCGAACTCATACCTCCACTGGCACCATGGCCTCCATCTCGTAGGATAGGGAAAAACAGGGTTTTCTAGTGACAATTTGCATAATTGTTCGTTATGCCCATAAATCCTTTTGCTGCATCGAGCTTCCTTTTTAGGATATTTTTTAATGTTTTATTGACAACTTTCACTTTCCCATTGGCTTGGGATAGTATGGAGTGGAAAATGTTTGCAAATACCCAATTCGTCACACATGGCTTTCAGCTTCTTCGCTTGAAATTGTGTTTTGTTACCTGAAATTATTGAATTGAGTATCCTGAATCGACATATGATTTTTTCCATATAAATTTCCAAGTGTTGGCTTTGGTGATGTTTACAAGGGGTTTGACTTCAACCTATTTAGTAAAATAATCTACTGCAACTATCATGAACTTCAT